ATATACTGCTGCAAACGTTTCTGAATTATCTTCAGTAAGATCTTACTTGCATGTGATATTAATGATATTGTTCTATAATTTCTACATTCAAGATCAAAAGGCAAATGCTAGTCAGTAATATTCTGTGTGATCATTTCAGGCATGATTATATTAAATAATGATGCATTATATAATTATTACATTGTAAAACAGACTTTAAATATCATCAGGCTTCTGAGAACTGCTACCATATTATTTAGGCATCAGACAATATCAAAGCATGTTTTATTGACTCATTACAGTAGAAAATATTTTTGCTGAAATTTGATCTCCATTTCTTTCATTTTGGTTGACGCTGATCACTGGTCCTATTAGAGAATGTATAAACCAGCTCTTAAATTAACAAAATTGGTACAGATGGTAGGGCTGGTGACATAGTGGTCAAAGCATTCAACAGTTAACTAGAAGGTCAGTGGTTCAAATTTACCAGCTGCTCCACTGGAGAAAAATGAGACAATCTGCTTCCATAAAGATTTACAGCCTTGAAAGCCCTATGGGGCAGTTCTACCCTGTCCTGTAGGGTCACTGTGAGTTGGAATCGACTCAAGGGCAATGGGTTGTATTTTGTTTTTTTTAGTACAGACAGAAGAAACATGTCGTATATAACATGTCTTTTATAAATATATAAATAATAGATTTATTATATAAATTCTCTTGACTATATAATGAAAATAGTTTTATATTTAATATTGAATGAACTTCTAGAAAAATAAATCTGTTTTAGAAAAAGTACACATGGAATGCTCCTTAGAAGCCAGAATGGCCAGATTTTCTCTCTTATGCTTTGGTCATGTTGGTTGAAGGGACCAATCCCTAGAGAAGGACATCATTCTTCATAAAGTAGAGGGTCATTGAAAAAGGGGAAGACCCTCAACAAGATGGATTGGTACAGTGGCTGAGACAATGGGCTCAAGCATGGCAATTAATGGGAGAATGGAACAGAACTTGGAGTGTTTTGTTCTTTTGAGTGGAAATGAACTTGACAGCACCTAACAACAGCACAACATAGGTTATATGATGTTATCAGGTTTTTGTCTAAGTAGCATACAAAAAATATCTTTGAGTTGAAGAAAAATCACATGTAGATATTTATTAAAGGATACACAGAATTGTCAATTTTAACATACCAAATGCTCATCATTCACTGTATGAAAACATTCTTCTTTTCTATAATTAACTTAAAAGTATTCATTTTTGCCCTCCACATTAGTATGGTTAGCTTTAAAATACATATATACAAGAAACCAGACTTTCATTTCTTGAATGAAATGAGAAAGAAAATATTACTTACAGAGTCAAACAAAACCCAGTGCCGTTGTATCAATTTGGCCCATAATGACCCTATATGACAGAGTAGAACTGCCCCATAGGATTTCCAAGGCTATAAATTTTTATCAAAGCACACTGCCACATCTTTCTCCAAGATAGCATCTAGTGGGTTCAAACTTATGACCTTTCAATTAGTAGCCAAGAGCTTAACTGTTGCACCACCAGAGCTCCTTAAAGTCCCCATCACATAGCTATTATTACAAAGTAATTCAGCACATCCAGAAAAGTCTTGTGTGGACTGATTTACTAAATTGAGGCAAAAATATCTCTTTTTTTTGCCTTAACTTGAATTACTCAAATTAGCTATTTACACTCCAGTTTTTTTAGAG